CTCTCTCTCTCTCCACCTCAAACATTTACTAAATCTCGAGAAATAAAAACAGACCATTGACAATGATTGTTAAAAGGCAATCAAACAGTGACTGAAGACGATGATTGCCCGTTGTTATCAGTTTGTGAAACACCTGAAACAATTTACCGCATATACAAATTAAACCAGCAACTGTGTGTCAGGTGCAACCATCCAACAACCTTTAGACAAAGTCTCGAAAAACTGTGACAAACCCTAAAAGTGAATAAAATAAACTCATGAAAGTTTAACAGGAAATGAATTAACGAACTGTTGAGACTGTTGCGCAGAAGAACTTAGCAGCAATTACGCAAGGACTCACTTTAAGTCCAACCAGCCACAAAGCAAATTCACGCCATCACAGCAACTAGAAGTCTTTTCATGGCTGCTCTAACTGAAACGGATACGCTAACAGTGAGCTTACTGGTGATTCTGGTATAAATTTTCAGCTTTCTTTCCTGATGTTTGTTAAGAAATGCCAGAACGGTCGCACCATCCACTACTCGTTTTTCCCTTCAAGCCCGCGCGCTTCACCCGACCCCTCCCTCCCCCCCTCCTCCATTCCTTCCCTCCTAATTTCCAGCTCTCCAGCTGTGTCTGTTGAGTACCCAGCAATTTCGGCTGAATCTTCATAACAACAGTAATCCGTAGAATTGCCAGGAGTTGTCTGTACGGGAGTGTTAAAGGGTCCGGTTCTTATGGCGCAGAGATGTTCAAAGCCACACACACATATGAACCATGGTCCTCACGACGAAAACAAAGAGTTGAAAAGAAGGATAAAATGAACTCGTAAAAATTATACCAGAATAAGCAGATCCGCATGCGTCCCACTGAATGACTGAACATCAATCGCTGCTCGTGGTACATATGGTTTGTTTAAACGTACACCAAAGTTTCGCTCACCACTCAGCAACAGAATGATGAAAACCCCCATGTGAATTAAGCCAACTCGGGCTGAAATTTAAAAAAAAAAAAAATGATACTTGGGGATTCTCTCATAAATTATATCTTGGCAAAAAAGTTAGCGCTGGCTATGACCGTGTAAGCAGCAAAACGAACGATGCTTGAAATACCTCTCTAAACCATATAAGAGATGAGCAACATGCACTATATCACCGCAGCCATGAAAAAGCAAAAAAAAAAACCGATGGGCCAGGCACATTGTTTGTCTTGCTGACAAACACTGGCGGGACGTCGTGAATCAGTAAAAGGTATACGCAGGAACGCTAACGCTCACTCGGACGGCGTTCGAAGAGGCAGCGCACATACAACAAAAGTCGAAATACTAACTCGAGACATGCAATTTGAGATCAAAGGGCCCAATACTGCTGTGGCCTAGAGTACATCTCGTCAACACTACTGGCACCGAATCTCAACACCGACCGTTGGGTGACCTTGTTTTTCACGGTAATCAGAGAGTCCTGCCCTGACAAAAAAGGGAGAAGTAAAGGGAATCTAAACTCTCGCTTTTTTACCTGGATCGCTGCGTGAAGCGTTGATGTGATACAAAATTGGAACAAGAACTTCCAGGACGTCACTGGTTTTCAGCAAATAAAACATAAATTTCTGCAACGGTAAATTAATAAACAAACAGTTCTGGCGCACAAATTTTCTACGAAAGCTGCAGTATAAGAGAACACAGGTGAAAGAATAAAGCAGACTACTACCCCTGCGATGTTAAACAAATGGTGGGGAAACTGTCAGTAAGAAACAGCGATGGATATGAATGACTTGTACAAAATTGGGTGAGTGCAATGCAGAATAAAATGAATGCCAGCTGGGTCGACGGACTGGAAGGAATATATCGGTGGAGTACCAGCTGCTCTAAGTGTCTGAATAAGCTCATTGAAACAGATC